TTTGTTAGAATATGCAAGTGTTCCTGCGTCAGCCATGCTCTGTTTCAGAATCTTAAAAGCGGTTTTCTGCTCAGGTCCAAAGTGGAATGGAACAGCCTTTCTGGTCAAGCTCCTTAGTGGCTCAGTGATAGTAGCGAAGTGAGGAATAAACCTGCTGCTATAATTGGCCAATCCCAGGAAGCTTCTTACTTCGCTGACGGTGGCAGGTTCCCTTGTTTCTTGCAAGGCTCTGATTCTTTCTTCTGTTGGGCCTATCCTTTTTCAGAGAGAAGAATTCCCATGAAAATCACTCTGTCCACATTGAATAGGCATTTGTCAGCATTGAGAGTTAAGCCATGCTGCTTGAGGCGTTCCATTGTCTTATATAGGCGTTGGTCATGAGTTGCCTGATCCGGGCCATGTACTATGATGTCGTCAGATATATTATCGACTCCTTCTATTCCAGCTAAAGCTGTGGATATCTCATGTTGGTACTGCTCACTCGCTGAACACACGCCAAATAATAGACGTTTGTACCTGTACAAGCCTTTGTGCGTCACAAAGGTGGTGATCTGTCGTGACTCTGAATTAAGTTCCAATTGGTGGTATCCCCACTTTAAGTCTAACTTGCTAAAGACTTTGGAACCATTCATATTGTGTAGCAGTTCATCTACAGTTGGTATTGGGTATCTGCCACGTACTATGGCCTTGTTCGCTTGTCTCATATCGATGCAGAGGCGTATGTCACCATCTGCCTTTGGTATGATCACTACTGGATTTACCCATGGTGTAGGCCCGTCTACTTCCTCTATAATATCACAATTCAACAACTCTTGAACCTTCTTTTCTACCTTCTCTTGCAGATTGAAAGGAATTCGCCTCAGGGGTTGGGCTACTGGTTTCACTGTTTCGTCTATGTGCAATGTTACTTGCTTGGACTTCAACTTTCCTATCCCACTAAACACTTCAGGGAATTTTTGCTGCAGCGTCTGTTTGCCTTCAGCAATTGTGGCAATGTCAACACCTATTTTCAGCACCCCAACCTCATTGCGGTGTCTTTGCTTAAGAGTGGTATTCCCTTTCCTTTGATAACCAGGAATTCGGTCTGGACTCTTCCTCTGCCCACTAGTACCTCACATGTGAAGCTACCTTTTACTGGGAGGGGTTTGCTGGATGCATAAGCGTACAATTTTCTGTCAACGGGAGCTGTTTGTGATTTACACTTGATCTTTTTAGCCTTCAGATCTTCCCATGTACATTCATCGATAATGTTATTGGTGGCCCCAGAATCCACCAACATTTCCAATTCTACTCCACCCGCAGACAATTTGAGCATATTTGACTGACCTTTATTGGTGACCCTGAATGCATAATCGACTTGCTCCCCATATCGGTTTTTGTTCTTCTTGCACCTGATTGACTCCTGGCTTCTTTGGTTTGGTTTTGCAGACACTAGCAAAGTGACCTTTCTTTTTACATTTTTTACATGTTTGACCTCTGGCAGGGCATTTCGGATCTCCACCAAGGTGACCACTCCACCCACAACGAGGACACTGACTGTCTCTGTTCTTGCTCTCTTTGTTTCTTTGTTGATCTTTTGGTCTCCTAGGTTTTTCATAGACCCTGTGTGCTTCTGTAGTCTGTTCACTCAAGCTAAGCTGAGACATTTGGTGTTCTACACTTTCACACTGTTCTGCAAGCTCTAATGTGCGTGCGAGAGTAAGTTCATCTCTTTCTTCAAGCAATTTACGTTTGACATAATCTGACCTGCATTTGCATAAAATCGCATCTCTTATCTGATTGTCAAAGTCTGCCCCAAAATTACAGTCTTTCCCTTCTTTTCTCAGTCGGGTTACAAACTGCAAAACGGTCTCACCTGGCTGTTGTTGGAGTCGGTGAAATTTTTGACGCGCAAAAGCGGAGTTAACTTTGGGGAGAAAATAGCCATTCAGTGCTGTTACAGCGGCGGCGTAGTCCGTTGCTTCGCCGGTGTTCGCGAGAGTAGAAAATTTCTTGCACATCTTGTCCCGCTAAATGGAGTAGCATAGCTCTTCTTCGTTGTCTGGTTGTTGCATTTGTACCTTCAGTGATAATCAGACCTTTGCCATCGGCAAACAATTCAAAAGATGTGAACCATCGCGTCCAACGTGGTCCTAACGTGGTAGGTTCCGGTGACAATCGAACTTAGGAATCCCATTGGAAGCGCCATTTTCGCTCAAAGACATCTTGTGTCTCACAGAATTATCCTCGTCGCCAATGTTGTATCCTCCTAATGCATATACTATGCCTTGGATTCGTACAGATAAGGTTTACACACTGACCGACCATGTGCTTTCTCTTTTATTACCTACCTCATATATGAGTACATGAAGCCTGTCTGCGCTCAGTACGTCATGTAATACATGACAGTTGCAAGCTGTTGGTACACCTCAGATGCAGCTTATTCCCAGTAGTAGGCATGGAGAATTCTCCATAATTTTGCAAGGGAGAGGTCACTTAAGGTCACTTAATTTCACTTTCTCTATAACCACGTTTAAGACCAGAGTCTATCTGATGTATTAAAGACACATAAGTCGATTTTTCCGTCTGCCAATCTGCCCTGAAAGTTTATATTCTCGGTGGAGAGAATGTTTTCACCATTTGAACCAAAATATACTCCGCCCCTTGTTTGACTTGTTCTTTTTTTAATTTTCCCTGGGTGTCCATTTGTTTGCTCTCTACTCCAGCAGCTGTTTTTGGCCCTTTCTCTTCAGTTTGTTTGAGAAGAGGTAAAGCTCCTTCTACTTATGGGAGTATTTGTTCAAGACATGTGGGTGCCTGATGATTTACTTTCTGCATTTTAGATTTCCCTGTTACATCGTCCTCAATTCCTAATAATTCTATCATTTTGACTAGACTGCCCTCATCTTGATCAAACAGTTGTGCTTCCACTTGAAGTTGTAATTGCTCCATAGTATCAAAACACACCATACCATGCAGCGATCTCCAAAACACAAACGTGTAGTTCAAAGTGTAGACACATAAACAGAACGAGTCAATCTATTCATCTCATTGACTCCACAGCAGAGCTATCTTAGTGCCACTATAATTCAACTGCTGTACTCTTTTTTTTTTTCCACATTTTTTTATTGCCATTTTGAAAATAAAAAAAGTGTTTAAAAGACTCTCAGTATACTCTATTTTCATTGGTAAGCTATTATTAATTATAAATTACATTTATATTTTTAAACAATTCTATAATTATATTTGTAAACTATTATTTATTGTAAATAAGTGCCATCTATATAATAACCACTTAGCCTGAAATTGTTTCTGTGTATTGTTTTTAACAGCAATGTATTTCTCAGTTCTATATTTGACGTCTACTTGTTTTAAGAAAACTTCACATTCTGGAATTTTATCTTGTTTTCGACTTTGCCATATGTGCAATTTTGCAAGAGTTATAAGATAATTCAATAACTCACATTTTTCTAATGTACTGATATATACATCTTGCAACGTGAATTTTTCCCTTTTACCTGAAAGTACAAACCAGAAGTTTTCAAAGTTTTCCTAAAAGAGAAGAGTAAAAGGACATTCGTAGAATAAGTGATAGATGGTTTCTGTTTCCACTTTGCAGAGCGTACAGGTATCGTGTAGAACATAACCTATCTTGGCTAGTCACTTATTAGTAAAAACGATATCATCCAACAGTTTTAAGTGAAAGCTTCTAATAAAGATTTCTGATGAAACTGACAGCAAATTGAGAAAAACCTTTGACACAGTAATATCATCTAAGTCAAAGTCATTTTTTAATTTAGTGAAGCCCCTTGATACTATTCCCTTTTTTTGCAATGAGGAATTCGTAAAATTGTTTACTTTTACATAGCACAGGATCAAACACTTTTTCCCTGCAACAAAATTCTAATAAACCAGTTTTTCTGCTATTGTCATCCAAAAATTTCAAGTGGCCAGGAATTGCACTTCGAATCCCTGCCCACGTTAAAAAGTTTGATTGTTTCAATCCTGCATTTGTTGCAATATTATATGACTCTAAACTTCCCTTATTGAATTGCATCTGATTAGTTAATTAATAGGATTCCTGCTTTAACATAATTATGGTAGTAAATGCTCTTTCCATCTATTTTAATAAGCTTATTGTTCCAAATTATATTTTCCACAGTAAGGGGCAAAGTAGAGAAAGCATTTCTAAAATCATCCCGCCACTGAAGGAGTTCACTATAAAATAATGAATTAATATTATAATCCCTCATATTATAATTACAGCTAACAAAGAAAGTCCCACCGTAATCTTCCAACAAGTTATCCAAAAAGGCCTTCCATGGAATTCGGCCTGGTGAATAAATTCTTGCAAGCCAAGCTAATCTTAATGATATTAGAGACATTTCAATATCTGTTAACCGAAGACCTCCAAATTTTATGTCGTTAACTACTGCTAATCGAGCTATTTTATCAGGTCCATTCCACAGAAAATTATATATAATAGTATTAAGTTGTTTTATAAACTCTTCCGGAGTTGGTAAAACTGAAAACACATATGTCATTTTTGAAAGCAAAAAGGATTTAATTATTGTAATTTTGCCGAGCAGCGAGAGGCCCCTGCAACGCCACAGTCGTATCTGCAGCCGAAAATCTTTTAATTTATCATAAAAATTTTTCTGCAATCGTTCGATTTCACTATATGTGAAAACTAAACCGAGTGCTTTAACGCTATTGACCCATGTTAGCCCTAGGGGTGTCGCTGTATCGTTTCAACAGGAACCGATCCACATAGCTTCAGTTTTTTTATAGTTAACCTGCAATCCGGAACAAGTTTTAAATTGATCAAGCAAATTAAAGATACGTTGAGCATTATTAATATCAGGTACAAACACGGTAAGATCTTCAGCGTATTGTACAAATTTAAACTCCTCTTTTCCTATTTTAATGCCTTGAATATTTGTTGTATGAATAGCAGTTGCTAGAACTTCAGCAACAATAATAAAAAGATAAGGTGACATCGGATCTCCTTGCCTGACCCCATTTTCTATCGAGTTGATGACATGTTGACGTGGAATTAATATTCCACCTTTTTTGTCAAAAGTCGGATTCAAAGGACAATTGAAATCACCGCCTACAACAATGTTGTCATCACTACGAGGATCCATTTTTCGTAATGTTGCCGACAGATTTTGGTAGAATCGAACTGCCCTGCATCTTTGTTAGTACCATTAATATTGGCCAGTAGGTATCTTTTATCTTTGATCAGCGTCTTGAGTACTATTGACCTGCCATTGGAATTTGGAAGTTCCTGCTCAACAACAATATCAAGACCCCTTTTAATTAATACAGCAACACCCCTGGCATTCAAGCTCCCATGAGAGAAAATGATCTCGGAGCCCCATTCTTTTTTCCATTTGTACCCGCCTGCTTTTGTTGAATGAGTTTCTTGAAGAAATATTAGATCTGCTTTTTGTTTTCTACACCAGGTGAAAATCGCTCCGCATTTTCGAAAATTGCTGAGGCCTCTCACATTAAGAGACACCAGTTTCAGGCTATCGGACTTGATCTTAGAATTTGTCATTTGTCAGCCATTATTAGAATCATTTATCATGAGAGAACTTATCAATAATTTATTATAATAATTGGCATGTTTGAGCAGTTGATATGTTTGTAAGTGGCAAGAAATGTGGAATTTTATAAACACAGAAATAGTAAACACAACACAAACACAAAACATTGCACATACATTGGTTACACACAATAACAAAAGCGCACTTACCATTGTGGTTTCGAGACACGCTTTCGCCGAGATCTCCTTTAGACATAAAAATCAGTTTACATGATATGCATATATTTACAAGATTTATGCAACTAAGGAAGAGACTAAATTGTTCATCATTGCAAAAATCAGTCAGTTCAGTTCAATTAAAAAATATCCAAATGTTCGGCTACTCGTCAGTCGGCAGTTTAAAGGTTGACAACTTTGTAGTGGAAACTTTCTTGTATAATATCTGTGCTGGAACTGACCATGGAATGAAGGCTAATTCAACAACTTTTTTTCCTTGATTTCTTTTAAATAATTTTTTTGCAGCTTAGCTCTGCTTAGCTTAGCTCATTGTGTGCCGACTTCAATATGTCATAAAATATATATATTTGGGACTCGAAGAAAGCTTTCTCTTTAAGAGCTTTAGCGGCGGCTTTTAGAATTTTCACTTTATCCGTGTACCTAAGAAGGTAAACATGAATTGGTTGCGGCTTTGGAGTCGCTGCGGGCCATTCTTTAACGTTCGTGCAGTGTGCCCTCATCACCTCGATGCCCTTGACTCCCATATGGTTTCCAAAGAAGTCTTGGGCCAGAAAAAGCTCTAGAGAGTCTTGTTCCTTCTCTGCGTCTTCTCGCAAACCCCATATGACGATATTATTCCTTTTGGAATTGTTTTCGAGGTCATCTATTTTTTTCTCAAGTTTGGCCAACTCCATGCGGGACGCCTTCTCTGCAATGTCACTTTTGACCTCAGGGACTTGTTCTTCTAAATAACCGTAGCTCTGCTTCAAATCTTTAACGTCATTGGCGGTCTTCTTCTGGCTTACTTCGAGGTTCTCTAGTTTCTGAAGAATGGAGTTCAACTTTACTTCTTGGTCGGCTTTCGCCTTTAACAAGGCGTCCATCTTGGCGTCCATCTTGGTCAGAACAGCGTCGAATTTGTCTTCGGTTGCTGTCATTTCGCTCTCTTTTATTGATTTAGACCTAGTTTTAATACTCATTCGCCTCTTCAAAGTGAAGAGCTCGGGCACATCCGTTCACCTTGAAGTCATCCCCAGACCCCCTGCAGTACAGTACTACAGTACAGTACTGCTGTACTCTTACTGTTGGCCACTGACTTCTAATTCCTTTTACAATTCCATACGGTCATCTCCACTCGCTTGCTCAGCACTTGCTTGAATTCTTTGCTCAAAATCCACAGACTCTGCTTCACATAACACCAGGAGTTGTCAAGCAAACTTGTGGTTCGCAGTTTGTCCTGGAAGGGTCACCAAATTGTTACCCATGCCCTATAAAACCACATTAAAGACCAATGAAAATAATAGCACTTCAAGACGTATTTCTTTCTTCAACAAACTCATACATCGATCTTACTACTGTCCCAGATGTAAGTGACTGCATCACACATCAACTGTTACACATTTCTGTTACAATTATTTCCACTTACGTTTGTCGCTTGTTTCCACTTGTTTAGGCTCTAACATCTAGATGTTGGATCAGTTCATCAGGACTATTATGCTGATCATCAAGACTACAAAGAAATTTGTGAGAATGAGGAGGTAAAAAACTAGAAGAACTCTTCAACAGTTTTTGTCTCAATTACCTTTTGATGTCTGAATGTCCACACGTCTTTTGGTGACTTTACCATATAATTTTGTGTCATTCAGGTGTTTAAAGTTTCTTGTTCTACCCCTATGACGTGAACCGTAGGATTTCCTTGATCTCACGCAATCCTCTGAGTTCATTAGACAGATTATTTCTGCAGCTTTGTCTGTTCTGATTGAAGTTCTCCACTAAGTCTTGACGAATTTTGTGCAGGTTTTCCTTGAGGTCAGGATCCTCCGGTGAAAGATTCCACCCTGATTTAACATACAATTTAGTATAGCTACTTAAAGGCTAAGTTTAAAAACTTGCCTTCCAAGGTCAAATGCATGCTGCATGAGGCTCGTGACTCATTCCTCTCAGGAATGGAGTTGCAATGAAAGTGCCATCCAAAAATTATGTGGTCGACACTCAAACTGAAATCATAACGCACTAAAAGTTAACTATGGTAAATTACTTTTCTAATGTTAATCATGAAAAGGACACCAAGAACTAAAAAGTAAGAATCTGTATTATCAAAAAGTACATAACGTACTAAAAGTTAACTGTGGCGACCTATTTTTAACATAAACCTTGAAAGGGATATTAAGGCCAGACAGTGAGAATTTGTATAACTTTTAATGTTCAATGATGTACAAAACGTACAACTACATACTTAAGGTAAATTTTTAGTACATAGCGTACTAAAGGTCACTATGGTAATATATAAAATATAAATATAAACCTTGAAAGGACGTGGAGGCCAGACAGTGTGACAGTTAACATGTTCAGTAATGATAAAAAGAAATGTACTACAGTTTAACTATGTACTAAAAGTTAACTTTTATTTTTCAATGATTAAAGATTGTGTCCAAGATAAGGTATGCGTTCATTAACAACCTCATGAGCAAATGAAGAAATTATTCAAGCCTCACGCTAGTGTAAAAGTTACATTTATTTTATTAACTCTAAAGTATGTTTCAGTTATTGTTAATCTTGTAGACGATCTATTGTGCATTCATTGAACGATGCTATCAGGTAGTGGTAGAAAGGAATTTTAAATTCACTGAATACTACAGGTCAGTAAAAGCCAAAACAGTCTATAAAGCAGGTCTATTAAAGTGTGCACGACTTTACTCTAGTTTTGGAGATCACAGGTTTTATTTTATCTATTACTGAAGGTTACACCAGTTATTAATTCTAGGTATACCAAGTCTAATGCATGCTTTGGTGATCGAAAATTGTGTGGGAGAAATGGTGCGCATCTATTGACGTTTTATCCAACAAATGCAATGATCCTGGTAATGATTGAGCAATTTAAGCAGCAAAATGATTATGCAGTGTGGTGATCATTTCTTTTATTTCACATAATTTCATGTAAGACCTTTTCATCAATGAGATAACAAGGAGTCGTCCGTTATGTTGAATGCCTTATATTTTTCTACTGAAGGCCTCTCGCTACTTACTTTCCTTACCCTACTTTCTTTTGCCTTCACATTTGTTTTCTTTTTGTGTAAGGCATAAACTTAATTTACCTTTGTCTCCTTTCACCCTCTGCCAAACAACTTCTTTCTTGATAGCATTAGTTTCAGTCAGGTCTTGGTTGATTTAAAAAGATAGTTTGTCTTCTCCTCTGTGAACTTTCTCCAGAACCTTGAGGATCCAGCAGATATGGAGCCTGAAATGTGCATTGTGGATGATGGTGCTGCTTCTGGTTGGGCTGAGTTAAGATACCTCTTAACTTTCACTTCAGAAGACTCTGTGTCTGAGAGAGGCTTGCAGTCTTTCATATTTTCCTCTTTTAGGCTCTGAAGCTTTAAGACTACAGCCTTCAAGGGGCGTTCCTCCAGAAGTGTTGAGGTTTGGGGCTGCTTTAGTGTCCTTGAGACCATCCTGTGGCTGAGGAATCATGCTCGATTTTCGGGCAACAAGTTTGGTCACAGCCCCTCAGCTAAGGTCAGTTTTGATAAGCTGATCATGTACATGATAACATCTGGCTTGAGTCTAGGTCTTTAGCCGGACTAGGGCAGTGAGATGATCCTTTTCATCTGGCATGTGGATATGCATGCCAGTTGCAAGGGACTTCCGTATGATTGTGGCAGATATTCTTTCTTCTGTCACAATTTCCTCTCTCTGGAATGTTTGCCATACAGATGTTGACACCTGTGAAGATGTTAGGGGTATCCTGTTGCTTAAAACGAATAGCTGCTCAACCTGTGGGGTATGTTATGTGAACTTGCTTTATACAGTTCATAGGTATATGTCCATTATTTTGTGCACATTATCATATGCCTACATAAGCGCAGACCTGCACTGGTCAGCTGTCTTGTGGTTACCTACTAGTATCCTGTAATGGGCCTGTTCCTCTTCTGTACTTGGGTGAAACATGGCAACCATGAACTCAGCTACAGCCATATTAGGAACAACTCCACCTTGTCCACTGTTATTGATGGCAAGATGCGTCTGTTGCACTCTGCTCAATCTCACACAAAAACTAAAGTAACATGTTTTCTAGTAAACTAGGACGGACTTCCGATTGTTTTTTTAAAAGCGCATGGGATCTTCTGATCCTATAATGTGTATTCCAGGGTTGGGCCCAGTCTCTCTTGTCTTACATGCTACACACTCCCCACTAGATGGAAATCTCGTCCCGACATTACAACATTAAAGACCAAAAAGTAAACAAAAACTGGTTGGGGAGTGTCAGTCCTTATGTTTGAAACTCAAGTCTTGTTTGAGCGGCTCAAACATCCGCAATGTTGTATTTTATGCATAAACTAGCTAATTACTACAGTTCAAATGTGACACTGAGTTTGTGAAGGCCTTTGATTACTGAGGGCAAGCAACAAGTTGGCTTAAAACAATTAGATGTGACTACAAAAGTGTTCAGCACTGATTTGTTCATGCAGGCTGTGGTATATACAGCAGCTGCGGAATAAAGGGCATGTGCGGAGTGCCATAAGGTACAAACCAGTTGGCCAGGACTTGATAGGGAAGTATCACTGGAGGGCCTTGAGTCATGTTTACCACTAGGTTTAGACGTTGGTACTCAGGCACTCCCAACTGACTGTAGGTCAGTGTCCAGGGGGTCATTTCTCCTGTCTGAGTCGTGTAGCTCCTTTTAGATATTCCTCTAAATCTGATCCATCACTTTCCTGAGAGACTCTGTTGGTCGTATCTGGACCAGCTGAAGTTGGCAACGGTAAGTGGCCAGCAGCCATTTGTTGGTCAGATGGATCCCTACCATCTGCCATATTTGTACAATCCTCCTGGCTATGGTGGTCCTACAGGTCTATAAATAGGTGTCTTCATCTAATTAACAGGATATTTGGAGGGTAACTGGAGAATATGGTGTGTTCATCTCATACTTGTCACCGAAACTCTATCCAGGGTCCCCAGGCTGGAGTAGTGCTCCAAATGGCGATTAGGCAGTCTTTGACGAGACTCTCATTTGCTCAGGCAATGGTGAAACAGCACAAGGAAGGAGCAAGTTACGGTGTAATACCCTCTGTTTCCCACTGCCATATTCAGGTTTTACTGGATAGACTGTGCCGTTACATATGCTCCCTAATTACATGTATTTGTTCTTCCTAGTGTGAAAGAAGCTTTCCAGGTGCTCCCCTTTCTGAAAGGTTTTTAACAAGTACGTGATTGCCAGGAAGTAGGACTGCAGAGGAAGCCTTCCTGTCATAATATGCTTTACTCCTTGCTGACAGTTGCTGGATAATACTAGATGCTACATCATATGCCTGTCTCATATCTGCTTGCCACGTCTTGACATAATTCTGGTATTTACCTTGTTGAGGGTCGCTGCCAAGGTCAAACAATAAGTCAACCGATAATCACGGAGAATGGCCAAACATCTGAAAAAAGGGCGAAAATCCAGTATAAGCTTCTTTAAACAATCTTTTCAGTACAATTTCTTTACCTCTGGAAGGGTCCATAATATAGAGAGTTAAGTATAGTTCATACGTTTTACGTAGCCATTGCCCTCTGGGTGGTATGGAGTGGTTCATGACATATATGTTTGTACATATGTAGCCAGTAAAAGCTAACTGCTCCAGTCTGCTATGTCCCATCTCCGTGTGAAGTTCTTTAAGTACAACTGGAATGAAGATGCGTGGTAGAACTAATTGTTACGTTGAACTTGTTTTTCATCGCAGAATACCATGTTCATCAACCTCCAGCTTCTTCCATTGTCTCCTAAGGTTGGTAACAGTGTGGTGTCCATCCTTAAGTTGACTACCACTCAGTTTAATCCCATGTGTCTTGTTATAAAGTAAATAGTGCAAGGCACTCTCCGACTCCTGTGCCTCTCTGATTTCTTTGGGGCTGAAGGGTTTTAGATTCAGATCCTTTAATGTGGGTTTAGGTGTTTTCGTGTTGGTGGCAATTGCCTTTTGCCTGCTACCTCACTACATCCAGGGTTGCTCTGACAACATCTTCGGGTTCTTCCTCTGTACAATCTCTCCTATATTTATCCATATCTAATGGAATTCTGGACAGAATGTCCGAGTCAACATTGGTATTGCCGAGTCAGCACTTGATTGTAAAGTTGTAAATTGCTAATTAGGCTACCCACTGTAGTCCTATGCCGTTCAATTTTTCTGATGGCATCACATACATTGGTGAGTTATTGTCTGTGATGACGGTGAAAGATGGGGCATAGAATGAGTAATCTCTGAATTTGTCAGTAATTGCCCTCTTTAGGGTCAAGAATTCGAGTTTCCCTGAGTGTAAGAGATAGTTGTGCTCTGGATGTGTAAATGTTCTGTAGCCATAGCCAACAACTCTCAACTTACCCCCTTGTTCTTGGTAGCGCACTGCCCCAAATCCGCCACTTGAAGCATCCATGTGAAGTACAAATGGTCATTCAAACTCAGAGTAAGCCATTACCCCAGGCTGCATAAGAAGCTCCATTACAAAATTTAGTTCTTCTTGATGGCTTTTATTCTACGCAATTTCGTGATTTGACTCGCACTTGGGCTCATTTTGGCGATATTGGCCAGTTTCCAGAACTCCCTGATGATTTTCATGGGATATTGCTGTTGATCTTCCCTTAGACCCATTTTAACGATATTGGCAAGTTTCCACATCTGTCCTATAATTTTCATGGGATATTGATATTGGGTCGCACTTAGACCCATTTTAGCGATATTGGCCAGGTTCCGCAACTTGCTTATGATTTTCATCGAATATCAACATTGACCTGCACCTATATCTATTTTGGCATGTGGGCGAATTTTCACATCATTCTTTTGATGTTCATGGAACATCGACATTGACTTTTGCTTGGACCCATTTTGGCGATATTGGCAAATTCCCTCAACAGTTATATGATTTTCAGGGGATTTTGCTCTTGAGCCACATGTGGGAACCACTTACACGATATTGGTCAGTTTCCAAAGTCTTTCAAAGTCTTGTCAATCTCTGCTACTTTTTCATAATTTTCAAGGGATATTTGGAGAAATTGATTTTGGCAATGTTAGCTTATTTCTGTGACTTTGTCCTGGCTCTTATGGGATATTGCTATTGGCTGCATTAGGATTCATTTTTGTGATTTGGTCAGTTTTCTCAACTTTTTAATTTTTTAAGATATTGCTGTTGATCCGCACCTCCCCCCATTGTTGCAATGTTGCAAGTTTTGTCAACTTTTCACGAGTTTCTTTGGATTTCAAGGGATAACTGTATTGATCTCTATGTAATTGGAGCATTTTTGTGATTTTGGCCAATTTCTGCAACTTTCTCACAATTTTCATGGGATATTTGGAGACATTGATTTTTGGCAATATTGGCCAATTTCTGTGACTTTCTCGTGTCTTTTGCGGAAAATTGCCGTTGACTGCACTTGGATCTATTTTGGCGACGTTAACCACAACCTTTTTGTGATTTTCATGGCAAGTTGACACATTGACTCGCACTTTGATCCATTTTGGTAGTTTTGGCTAATCTCTATTAGTTTCGTATGGTTTTCATGGGATGTCAGCATTGACCCACATTTAGACCCAATTTTTTGCAAAATTGGTCAATGTCTGCAACTTTCTAATGATTTTCATGGGATGTAAACATTGACCTGCCCTTCGACCCATTTTGGCGATATTTGCCAGTTTTAGAAACTTTCTTATAACAATAGACTCCCACTTGGACCTATTTTAGCGATATTGCCCTGTCTTTAAAAGTTTCCTAAGATCTTCCTGGGATATTGACAATGACTTGCACTTGGACCCATCTTAGTGATAAAGGTCAGTTTCCACAACTTTCTTATGACTTTCGTGGGATGCCTAGACCTATTTGGCGATATTGGCCAATTTGTCAAATTTCTCGTTGCTCTTCTATCCTTGGAAGAAGTATTCTTATGTATGGCAATGACGACCTTTATTAGAATTATTAGGTGCATTATTGCATGAGTCAAGAACATCCAAGGTAACAAACTTCTCCAAAATCAGTGTGTGTGTGAGTCAAGAGATATATCCCATAAACACTTGGGCCAAAATGCTAAAAACTTTTTTTTAAATTTAAACAGGCCTTAAATGTCATAACAAAATGATCAGGCAAAGATGTGTGAAAGAGGCACGGAGGATAAAACAAGATTGAATTGACTCGTGGAGGAGAGCTGTATTTTACTGTGTGAAGTGACGGACTGGTTGACATCGAGTTTGAGTACTCTTTTAGCAAATTGGTAACAATTGTTCATAGCTACATATTCATGAGTGAAAGAAGAAAAGGAACAAGCTTTTGAAACGGTTCATAAGTTAAAATTAAAATATTTCTATGTTAAAATCTGAACTATCCATATTGGATTCACTGCCACTTTTGTATTCGGCGTAAAGAATGGAATGCAATTCCTCAAAGATTTCACTTTGGCCAAACTGTTGAAACACGTCAGCCTCATCAGTCTTGGCATTGTCCTCCATCTGAATCTCCTCGTTATCATCATCAGAATCCACTTCAGGGAAAATTCCAAGGTCAAACTGAGCTTCACATTCCTTATGGCCACCAGCACCATCAGAAAGGAGACCAAGTGAATATGGAAAGCTCATCCATTTTAGTACAAGCAATAGAGAGCAATGCACGAGCTTGCTCCAAATCCTTCTGCTCTATCAGCTCCTTTGACCAAGAGTCTAAAACCTTTGACTTTCCCTCAAAATGACTGAACATTTGAACCATTTCTTTTTTGGTGTTGGCTGTTTCCCTCAAGCATCTTTTGGCGATATGTCGACCAAATCAATGAGTTGCCTCTTTAAACAATAGGGAGCAGCAGACTGTGGTTAAATATCATCCTTTAGTACACACCACAGTGGCCTGTTGATGTTTTACACGTCTTGAACCGCAATTGTGGAAGGGTATTTATAACTCAAAGTCTCGACGATTTGTCTTGTATAATCCTCGGCTAGCTGTTTCATGGCTCCTGTAATCTGCGTATAAAGCTGTTTTGCAATGGCTTGTCCATCTAAAGAATTAACACGTCATAAGTCAAAATGATACTAGGAAAAGCCTACACTTGTAGCTATCATTTCATAACAATATATTGGTTTGCTCTAATTGGGCATCTGAACGACAACTGTTGTCACTGGAACATATCAATGCAACACCTGTACATTTCTTCATCATTTGCAAGAGAAACCATCTTTCTGAGCACTTGACATGCATGGATGATAGCAAGTCTTCTCGATGCTTGTCTTGCAATATACATGCTGCTGTCAGGAGACCACTAGGGTTGGCCACCCTCTAGGTACTTTAGCTATTGATCCAACCTATTACCAGCAGAAAGGCAAACAGTGGAGAAGCCCAAAATATGACTGAAATGAAATGCATTGGTTTAGTTTGGTATTGTTTTGCAATGCAATTGGCAAATAGACCTCGCCCTGAGATTACAGTAAAATAGCAAAAATTACTTACACACTTGACTGCACAGAATTTTTCATAATTCCTATTGCCTGATTGCGTGATTGTCTGCTTACTTGTATGATTATTTATTTGTAGATTTTGTGGCTGGTAATGATTACTTTTGTTTTGTTTGGCGGACCTCATTTGAAAACCATTCTAATATCCTTACATAAAGATACTGCTTTACTACCAAACCAGGGTAGTAAATTTCAGGATCCAAAAGATGGTTGCATACCTGTTGAGCTAGTCGGTCAATATTTTCAAAGTTTTAGATCCTGAGGAACATTTTTGTAGGTTTGTTCTGTTGATGAACAGTTTGAAGAATTCATTAGCCAAACATCACAAAAAGTCAGGATGAATGACAGAA